GGATCGGTCACATCTACTGAATCCGTACAAAGATTAATTACTGAAAATAACAGATAAAATACAGTTTTTTTTCTTAAGAAACGTTTGATAACTATTGACATTATAAAGATTTCACATGTGAAATTTGAAAATTTTCTGATGAGTAAAAGTATTTTTAATCTTAAAATGAATATCACTTTGCATGATACATAGGCAATATGTGCAAAGAAAAAATAGACTTAAGACTTAATAAAAAAAATTTGATATTTTGCATATGAAAGCATTGTAATGTTTACTGATAATCTGCCAAATTTCGTTAACAATCACCTATTAATTTAAAGGTTATAGCATGAAATCTATAACAAGCACAAAATGGTTACAAGGTCAGTTCCAGGGACTGAGCCTGTGCTAAAAAGAGTTAAAGCTACTTAGGATAAACAAATGCAGTTTCATGCTACATTTGAAATCATTCTAGAAAGAAAAGGAGAGTAATTTAGATTTATTTAAATTTTTTTCTTGGTGGTTACGAGATCAGTGAAATTGACTATAGAGTTAGTGTAGAGAAAATAACAGATAAATATGAAATTTTACAACAAACATTTGAAATTTATTTAGGAGGTTTTAGAGATTACACAAAAGAAATTTCAAATTTTTGAGACGAAGAAAAGTATTTTTGATCTTAACCTGAAAAATCACTTTGCATATGGACTATTCAAAATAAATACTCGATATATTCAAGGACAAATCTTTTTTTAGTTTATTAAAAATACTTCACTAAAAAATATGATATTTTGTATGTGAAAGGCTTATAATGTTTACAGAAAGACTGCCAAATTTTGTAGTATCAAATCTATAAGACTCCATACGAGCACAAAAAGGTCACGTGGTTGCTCAAAATGACGGAGCCTGTGTAGAGAGAATTAATATGAATTTATAGTAACAAGTGCATAAAAGTATTTAAACTATATCTTGATGCTATATTTCCCTTCTTTTAAAACCAGAGCTCATCAGGTTGACTGTGTTAAAAAATGTAATGTATAACCTTAATTGAAAGGCTATGAACAAACAGGTAGTTTAGTCATTATCAGTTCACCTGTTTTTTGTTTTTTTCTGGATTATTAAATTAGGCAAATCCATTAATCTAATTCACCAATTGGTTAATTACAAAAAAGTTAATTTCTTTACAATCACTGTCATGATTAGCAGCCTATATGATAACCTTAGATTAATTATTGAATAATTTATTATTCTTTACTTATTACTAATAACTAATTAGTTTTTATTCTGTTTTGGTTGCTAATTACCTACCATCATCAGAAAAGTCTTTTCAGGACTATTTCTGTGGTAGTAGTGGCCAAGATTTGAACTTGGGTCACCTTGATAGAGTCTGGTAGACACCAATTCACCTAGGGTCTTTCCCCATTAGGAGTTTGATCAACTATATGAATATTTGTTAGAGGGCTATCCAGGTTTTGACGACTTCTATGCTCGGTTGGTTGAGTGCATTATCAGGTTTCTTTTATCTTTCTTGTTCCATGTGTGTTTATTTGTGTTTAGTATCCAATTATTTTGGTATTATTCCAACATATTGTATGTTTTTTGTATGATGGGCTATTGTAAACAGATTTGTATTACAGAGTCTTGTGTGTATTATGTTCCTAAATACTGACTTTTGTTGGTAATTTTGTTCCTCCAACGTGGAATCCACATTCAAAAGGAATGTTATAAATAAATGGTGTTTTTGCTCTCTATTGGGTATTCAGGATAATAACTATTAAGTAATAAAAAAAATTAATTAATAATTATACTTACGTGATTACATAGGCTGCCATTATGATAATGATTGATATCCGATATTTAAAACCTAACCTTAAGTACTTTCTATAGTTTGAAATCAACAGTCAAGCAGAATGTATTTGGAAATGCCACATTGCTATGAAAACAGGCTAGTGTGCATATTCTACAACTATGTCTTGGTTTATGCTTTATTCTACATTAAGTCAGCTTTCTCTATAACATTTGGACAAAGTATTACATGTATATTCCATAATAATAATTTCCTTGTTTAGTGGGTTGTTTATTCATTACAGTTTCCATTAAATAAAAGGTTAAATCTTCTACATTGTCATATTAACAATATATTTAGTTATATGTGCAAGTTATAAATTTGTGCATGAGAAAAGTACCCTTTATCATCTGCACACATGCACACTGACACAAATAAAACACCAATAATATAAGAACTCGAAATAATTGGTCTATAAATTGTACCTCAACAACAAAACAATGTTTCAAGTTTTATTTTAGTCTTTAAAAATACCTGCATCATCCTGAATAAAACCATAAAACTAAGCACAAATATTACACACACTTCAAAATCCTATACAAATACAGGTTCATTGTGGTGAGTAAAAACCAATCGAAAACACCATACATATAACACACAACTCAAAATTATAAGTAGCCAAATTTTCCAATTTAAACACCATGATCCACATAGCTAAACGAAGCAGTCTAAATTTGCCAATCAAAGTAGGGATTGAAAATTCTTTTAAAATCTATCCAATTAGTATCACTTTACTTGTTTGTTACTTTCTATTGCAGCATTTATTTTGTTTTGGATACTTCTTATAGCAATTCTACAAATAATCAATGATCCCTACTTTCCATTAAAACTTAACTGTTTTTCCTATTTATTTGTTCAGTTTTTATATGTCCATGAAATGGACACAACATCTATAAACTTTCAGTATAGCCATATCCCTGATAGCTATAGCTTTTACAATGATTAAAACCACAATCACAAATTTATAAAATGTAATCCTTACTTTGGCCTACAGATAAGTGTATAAAGTTGCCAAAGTAGGGATTAAATTTTATAAATTTGTGATTGTAGTTTTAATTCTTGTTTCATTACTTTACTTCATTTTAAAATTCACAATTTTCTAATACTCTTGTTTGTTTACTTTTTATGTTATGCTGTATATTTATTGGAATATCAAAGGCAGACACCCACAGATTAGTCAAGTAAGCTGGAGAAATCTTGCAGCGATAGTTCGAGCCATCTTGGGGCTAGCGCTGATGATGTGATCAGGTAGGTATGTAGGTAGTAGACGAAAAAGTGGTTGTTTTAGAAATTTTTGAGTTGTTATACTGGAAATGTTAGCATATTATTAGTATATATGCCCATAATATATCGTAACCAATACTCTGAATGATTGGTTTTTCGTTTAGGAATTCAATAGGGTGGTTTTTCGATTATATGAATTATTTGGTAACTTTGTCGATCCTTACTATTAAGTACTACATACTTAATAATATTTTGAAATGTACATGGTGATATTTGTAATGTCTATTACAACGTGATTGCACAAATTATTGATATAATAGTATATAAACTTATTAAAAAAAAACATACAGGAGTCAACTGAAAGATATTCAAAAGTCCAGCAAGAACAGTGTAATTACTAGATATTGAATCACCAAGTACCTTCATTATGTGTTGACCGTCGTTTTTCATCTCTTCCCGCTCTTGGCTTCTCCAATTTAGTAGCGAACTGTTCTGTTCGAGGTGCAAGTGAACGTTGTCCTGGTTGATAAACCTCTTGTGGAGACATCATAACATAAAACTGGCCTTATAAAGAAGAAAAATAATATCACTGTGTACTAGACTGAAATAAGAACTGTGAAGAAAATACCTTACTTTCTAGAAACTATTGAACATTATACATTTCCAACTTCAATTTGACAAACACTAATAATTAAATAACAATAAGCGCAAAGCTACACAATGGGCTATCTTTTCCCTGCCCACCAAGGGTATTGATTTTTAGTATTATAAACCCTCAGACATACTTCTGAGTCATCAGGGGAGGGGGCTGACAAGAAAAAATAAGATGACTACACATCAAATATCCTTTTAAATGATCTTCATACAAAGCATTTGAAATAGTGGTTCACATTCAGGAAATTATCAATAAAAAAAGCAGAAAAATTAAGAAATTCAGTTTTCCATTGGCTAATTTCAAGAATAAAATGACAATTAAAACACTAAGAAAATTAAGCTAAATAAATATTCACAATCATAGCATTAAGACAAGAGAATAGAGCACACAAATATCTACAACAAAAGAACATAAAGCATAAGCCAAGTTTGAGAGAATGATGTCTTAAGTGCCAGAAAAATGTAAAATATAAGGAAGAGTATTATAGTTAACTTGTTTTAACCCATCATTTTTAATAACCAAGGGATAATTTTCAAGCCAGTTGTTGTCATGACACAGCTCTTAAGACTTGCCTGGAGTCCTATATAGCCCACTTTACCAGTAATGTTACAAATGGTTATGGTAAAAAAATTGGTTTCTGGTGGCTAACAATGATTGCCAGATTTTTCTACATTTGCACTATAGTATCCAACCCATTTACAGATGCATTGATGGGATTCTAGGCTTAACATTAATAGAGATCATCATTAGGTTAGGAGTGAACCTGATGATGAGCTTAGGAGGTTGAAATGTCATTACTTGTTTTGTGTTTTTTTAAATAAAATGTAGCATTAATTAATATATTTTGCGAGTTAATATTTTATGACTGTTTAAAATAAAAGAGTTAAAAGCAGATGACTGTTGGAAGTTGTGTTTGTAATTCATTGATGTTGAGACTATCAAATGTTGCGTTCAATACACTGATGTCAAGAATATAGATTTCTAGAAGGCAGGCAGACGATTAAGTAATAAAGATCTAAATAGTGTGAGATGAGCAGAAAGAGCAGAGAGACAGAGCAAACAAGGGACCAGAGAATGGGAAGTAGAAGTGTGGCCAAAGAAAAGGTTAGAAAACGAAAGTTAACCATCATAGGAGTGGGTGGCCTAATGGTTGGTATGTTAAAGTGAGATTAGCAGTTTTCTGACACTTTAGGAGAATAATTTGTCTTACCAAAGGGTGTTCTGAAGCAATTAAATCTGCTTTTGTGAAATTTGACAAAAAAAAAAACAAGATGATTATTGGAAGTATGCCTAAATACAAAAAAGCAAAGCAGTACTGGAAGTTCAGGATACAACTGCAGTGAGCTCAACAAGGCAGTGTAAGTGAAAACATACCAGGTAGTAGAAATTTGGAGTAATTAATGAAAATTAATGAAGCATCTGCTGTCACCAGCAGAGATCAAGAAAACAAGAGCAAAGAAGACATAAAGCCCATGCAAGTGTCAAAAGACAACATCCTGAATGTAGGTTTGCAGGAACTAAAGGAAGCACAGAAGAAAGACCCTTCATTGCAGAAACTTTGGGACAATGCCCTGGGAGAAAGTCGAGCACAAGACAAAATGGAAAGATACTTATAACATAGAGAACCAAAAGGGAGTTATATACCTAATCTATCAAGGCAGTTATACTGGGGAAGTTTGTTTGTTTGTAATTAAGCACAAAGCTACACAATGGGCTATCTGTGCTCTGTCCATCACCAGGTATCAAAACCTGGTTTATAACGTTGTAAGTCCGCAAACGTACAGGTGTGCCCCTGGGGGGTGGAGAAGTTAAACAGATTATAGTACCAACAGAATACCAGACTCAATTGATGAAGTTGGCTCATGAATCAATTGTGAGAGGACACCTAGAAACAAAGAAAATGGCAGACA